CTCTGGTAAACTCACGGCTCCTCTCCACAACAAACCTGCTTCGAATGCAACATGAGAAAAAAATGAAAGGACGGACATCCGTAACGAGCGACCACCCCAACAAACACAATAAATAAGAGACCCCCTAACATTAACCCTAACCCTACTCCACACCCTAACCTTACCCCAAACTGAAACCTAAATCCTAACCCTACCCCTCTGTTATATTCTGTCTCATATTGTGGTCGCTCGTTACGGAAGTCCTCACAAAAAGAATAATGAAAAAAATAATGCTGTATCCATGTCCTGTGCTATTTAGTTTTAGTAGTGGTTTTACGGCGCTCGCAACTGCAGAATAAGGTCCTATGAGCGCGAGATTCCTGTGCTGTATGAAAACGTTCACAAATCATTTACTCGCGGAGGTTGGACGTAGAGGAAACAGTAATCCTCGATCTACTATCCGATCGGGCCAGGAGTGGGTGGGAGTGACGTGAACAGCTTTCGGTTAGTTCTGCTTCACGCACACGTCCCCCAGTGACTGGCCTCACACAGCGCTGAGAGTAGAGTTGAGCAAATGGTTCAGCTGACTCCAGGGACGTGCCGGGGCCGCTCCGGGGTTGACAGACGGGGCGGGAGGGATTTTTGTTTTTGGTAAGGGTTAACAGGCGGGGAGGGAAGAATTTTTTTTTTGTTTTTTTTTTTGGGGGGGGGGATGGTAGATCTAAGGGTTGACAGACGGCGGGATTCCGTTGTTGTTTTGTTTTTTTGGTAGATCTAAGGGTTTCTTTTCCAGGAAAGCTTCAGGCGCAGCAATGACGTCATAAACAGTCAGCTAAAAGCGCAACTGACACAGTTATGCAACAGCATCGTCTCTGAGACTTACAATGTAATCTTTCAGTCCGTCTGTCGTTTGTCTGATAAGTTTGTTCGAGTGTTCATTTACATGTCTCCGTTCTGTTTGATTGACAATGGCCTTTCTGCAACAGCGAGAGGCAATTCTCCTCAATCCTTGTCTGTCTGCATATCAATCATCCGTGGAAAGTCTGTCACAAACGTTCTTGTTTGAGACTCAAAACAGATCTTAGTTGCTCACCATAGTTTTATAATTTTTCTACCTGTGCTTTGAGAAAAGACATTCTATGGCTTGGGTTACTGTTAAGAGACTTTTCAGGCTTGATGAAACGTTAAGTAGATTAGTGGATAAATCTTCAAGTAACCTGCATTCTTTCCGTATTCATTTTCATAACTGCTTCTTCAACCCGTCAAAAACGATTCTTTGCTTAACAACCTGACCTTAACCCTAATTGTAACCCTATCACAGACAATAACTCTAATTGTAACCCTATCACAGACCATAACCCTAATTGTAACCCTATCACAGACAATAACTCTAATGCTAACCAGTATAAGCCCAACCACTAACCTGTAACTCCTGGCGCTCATATGACCTCATGCAGTTGCGAGCGCCGTTAAACCTCTTCTAAAACTAAACTAAAAAACTAACCTGTAAGTCCTAACCCTAACCCCCAACCCTTAACCCCTGACCCCCTAGTAGTATGTCTCCTTATGCGCGGCTTACGTTGCGTCGTGAACGGCAATCGTTTGCGACGCGTCGCGAGGTGTGTATCCTTTTGCACGACAACAACACACGGCTAGTTAACCCTATCCGAACGTCATGTTTTACTATCGTATCCATACGACCTGGGGAACTCTGTGCCACCACTTTCCAAAGAGGAAATTTACTCGTTGATCGGATTTACGCTTTTAGTTTTAGTAGAGGTTTTACGGTGCTCGCAACTGCATAATTAAGGTCATATGAACGCCAATCAGTACACTTTGTATAGCAGTGTGTCAAAGTTTTTAAAATAATTTTTGAGACATAGTGAACGTTTAAAAGAGATTTTCGCACTTGGAGTATTCTAATATGTTAAGAATACAACCCCGAGGGTACAAAATGACCCCAGGGCGTACGGTTAGGGTTAAACCTGTCACACCCCCAGTCTGTCGCGCGCGACAAGATCTCGATCGCTACATGGACCGGCCGCTGTCGACGGGTAATACGGGGATCCTACTACGGCTGGATCGGGCCGATCGTCCGATTCGATTGCCTGAAACTGAAAACATACACATTTGCTTTTGAGACGATCGAGTCGGGCGATCGGCCCCTTCGGCCGATCTCATCAGTAGTGGGCACCCCGTATAAGGAGACAGGTTCTTTACAATATTACTTGATTGGTTTTGGAGCGGCAAAGACGACGCGCGACGATAGTACTTGGGCAGTGATGCACCAATTGACTATTATTCAAACTGTTCGCCTGTACCGAAGGTTAATTTGTGAGACTAAATCAATAGTCATATTATTATACAACCCAGCAGGACGGTAGGCCTATTATAGCGCTCAAAGCATGGTAATAAGATTATAAAGTAAAGTAGTTCCCGTATCCGATCCGGACATTGGGGATTGTCTTGTTAGTGAGACGACTTCTTGGGCCTTCGGCATATTGTGGTAAGGTGGCCAGTTCATCTCTACGCCGCCTTTACTTCCCCAACTCGAATTGAAGTCAGGTACCCATTACTGCTGGGTGGACTGCATGGGGCGAAAAAAATCCGTGTCCGAACCAAGGCTCGACCCCGGACTTTCCGATTCGGAGACAAGCGCAATAAGACTAAGCTTTACATAAATATCGAGACGATTTAGCTGCGTGGACAACTAGCTGACCTACATTTTGGACTGAAGAGAGATAACGAAAACTTGATACTTGTATCTGAAATCAAGAATCTTACTCGTTATGCTAGCCACCAAAGACAATTAGAGACTGTGCCATGGAAAAAAAAGAACTACATTTCTCTGACAGGGAACCACTCGTGCATCACACACAGCTGTAAACTAGCTTCGACACAAGTTTGGAGCTGAAATTTGTTTTATTTATCATCAACATCATCACCATCATCATCATCATCATCATCATCATCCTCATCATCATCATCATCATCATCATCATCATCATCATCATCATCGTCATCATCATCATCATCATCATCATCATCATCATCATCATCATCATCATCATCATCATCATTATCATCATCATCATCATCATCATCATCATCATCATCATCATCATGTTGCCGAAGATGCGGCCATGACAAGGAGGGTGTCAAAAATATGTTTGAATGTCCAGGAACAATGGCAATTCGAATGGAGTTATTTGGACGAGTGGAGGTGCCGCTAAGCATATTGACAATGGAGACGAAAAAGAGCCTCCATCTCTCTCTCTCTCGAAGATTTCTTTGTGGAGTCCGCCCGGCCCATTATGGAAAGAAAAAAAATCATCATCATCATCATCATCATCATCATCATCATCATCATCATCATCATCATTGTATACAGCAGAGAGTTGAAAAGGTTGAGCCTTGGAGGTATTTCCAAAATATAATATAACGACACGTTCAACGTTTCGCCCTGTTCAGACTTCGCCAGGAACATTCAAAGTATAAATGACTACACTAGCAGTAAAAACCACCACCACCACCACCACCATCATCATTGCCACCACCACCACCATCATCATCATCATCATCATCTTCATCATCATCATTATCGTTATAATTTTGTATCGTCATCATCATCATCATCATCATCATCATCATCATCATCATCGTCGTCATCATCATCATCATCATTCTTTATAGAAATATACAAAAGCTTGCACTTTAAGAGCAAACCAAAGACTACCCACATTAGCCAGCGACCATCCTAAAGTTGGGGGAAATACTATGTGAGGCATCGTGGTGGAATCAGGCGATAGTCAAAATATATAAATCGAAGATATCGGCATTTTTTCCTCCAGTTTGACAATTTTTTTCTAAGTTTTGGTTTATGGCTCAACACTTTTTATGTCCATTTAAAAACATATTTCTGTGTGGATTTTACTGAAAAACAATAATTTAAGTCTCAACAAATGTAAATTTTTAGTTTCCAAGGACTATCAAGCTTTTGAAATAACCAACCTTTGGCAGCCATTTTCTCGCTAATTTTACATTTGAAACCAGGCGACCCCAATCTCCTTCAGTCTCAAATATCGCGGCTTCTATTCAAGATAGGAGTCTATTTTTTTTCGTCAAAATATAATCGAATCAACAAACTTTAAGATGACATAAATAATTCCAGATGCCCCAAAACTGACGAACGCCTGATTCAACCGCGTCGTGCCACATATCGGGGAGTGTAGCAATGCGGCGTTGTTGCTAGTGGATTATCATTGGGGGGCCGGCAATTACCGCTGTCCTGCCACGTCAAGTGGAAACCCAGACTGCCCATCTTCCCAGCACGGGCAGGGCAATGAGTCGCTTTAGCAAAATCCGGATAATGTTAGTGTAGCGCTTCTCTTCTGCGATTAAATGTGTCATGAACCGCTCGGGCAAATTAAATGGGTTAAAAGAAGCACTTCAAAATATGGGCACTCCCACTTCGGCAAACGGGTCAGGAAAGAGAGTTTAAGAGTCTGAATTCGGATACTGTTTCTCTGAGAAGTATCCGGTTATCCGGATTTTACCCGCCACTGGTCCCAGCACGTTGAACAGAGCCATAGAGATAACTGCCGCCCTTGTTACATTGGCCTCAGCAGGATGCTTTGGTGGGTGATCATCGTGCAGCGATGATAGTTGTAGGTTTAACGTACTTTTGGGGACTTTGTGATTTAAACGAGTTAGAGATTCTTGGGGCAGATACTGCTCAGGCTGCTGCTTTCGTTGTTATTGGTGTTGCTGCTTTTGATGATGTTGTTGTTGTTGTTGTTGTTGTTGTTGTTGTTGTTGTTGTTCTTCTTCTTCTTCTTCTTCTTCTTTTTCTTCTTCTTCTTCTTCTTCTTCTTCTTCTTCTTCTTCTTCTTCTTCTTCTTCTCCAACATCCAAGTCAAAATTCAGTTGACCCTAAGTTCTTCAATCAACTTTTTTTCCTTACTAAATACATAACCAACTATTCAGGCTAACGTGTTCTGTTTTCGACGGTACTCTTCATATTGACTACTAGCTTCTTGGTGCTCGATGTCTATAATATGCTCAGAGTTCACCTGGAACTTCTGAGATTTTGCTATTCTCACTATTCTGTTCCAGAATGTTCTACTGTCACTAAAGGAGAAAAACTAGAAAAAAAAATGTGGGAAAGAATGCCATAAGCGTCACACTGATAATACATGACGAGCTTGAAGGTCGAAGGTCAGAGATAAGTATCCTACCACTAATTAATGAACGAGTCATGTAGAAAGCAGTATACATGATGTAATAACATGTAATTGACAAGGCATCAAAAGATGTTTACGGAAATAACCACAAGCCTTTGTGACGTCATAAATAAACCAGGGTCAACTAAATAGGCTGCAAGCTCGTCAGGGCGTGCCACTGCCGCACTCTGACAAAACGACTTTTTCTTATTTACTGCAGTTTCGAGAAATCAACGATTTTCGGTTTTCTTCTATAATATTTAAACTATTTGGCACAGTACATCAACGGTTGATCTTGCACGCTGCAGAGAATGT